ATATAAAATGCATAAAGAATATAAAATACATACAGAATATAAAATGCGTAAAGAATATAAAATACATTAAGAATATAAAATACATAAAGAATATAAAATACATACAGCAGAGTTAAGGATAAGCGAGTCTAAAGAGATGTGTTTTCAGAGCAGTCTTGAATAGAGAAAGAGAGGTGGTGTTTCTTAAGTCAGGGGGTAGAGAGTTCCAGAGATGAGGAGCAGAGCAGGTGAAGGTCCTGCTCCCCATGGTGGAGATGTGGGCAGAGGGTACATGGAGGTGTAGTGAAGAGGAGGATCTGAGAGAGCGAGAGGGGATGGAGATGTGTAAGAGGTCAGATAGGTACGGAGGGGCAAGGTTGTGGAGAGCTTTGAAAGTGAGAAGAAGAATTTTGAAGACCATGCGTGATTTAACCGGGAGCCAGTGGAGCTGCTGCAGGACTGGAGTGATGTGGTTATAGGAGGAGGTTTGAGTGATGACATGGGCAGCTGAGTTCTGGACCAATTGCAGCTTCTGGAGAGATTTGATGGGGAGGCCATAAAGAAGGAAGTTGCAGTAGTCAATCTGAGAAGTCACAAGACTGTGAACAAGGATGGCTGTGGAGCGGGTTGTGAGAGAAGGGCGGAGACGGTTAATATTTCTGAGACGGAAATAGGCAGACCGAGTGACTTTGTTGATGTGTGAAGTGAAGGAGAGTGGTGTCGAGGATGACACCAAGACTCTTGACCTGAGGCGAGGGGGATAGCAGAGAGTTGTTAAGGGGTATGAGAAGATTTTCTGATTTTGAAAGAGAGTTTTTGGTACCGACAAGAATGATTTCTGTTTTGTTACTGTTTAGTTGTAGGAAATTGTTAGAAAACCAGTGATTTAGCTCATTGAGACAGTCGGTGAGGATGGAGGGTGGGTGGGTGGAGTTTGGTTTTGTTGACAAATAGAGCTGTGTGTCATCAGCATAACAGTGAAAATGGACACCAAATTTACGGAAGATGTGACCTAGAGGAAGGAGGTAAACGATGAAGAGAAGAGGTCCGAGGACAGAGCCTTGGGGGACACTCGTGGAGACGGGGGAAGACTGGGAACGAAAGGATTTGAGCTGAATGAATTGAGTGCGGTCAGAGAGATATGATTTGAACCAGCCTAACGGAGTACCTGAGATGCCAATGGAGGTTAGTCTGTCGAGGAGGATAGAATGACAGATTGTGTCGAAGGCAGAACTTAGATCCAGTAAAATGAGGATAGACAAAAGTCCGGAGTCAGCAGCAAGAAGAAGGTCATTAGTTATTTTTATTAGAGCTGTTTCGGTGCTATGGTGGGGGCGAAAACCAGATTGAAACTCTTCATAAATGTTATTGTTGGATAGGTGAGAGTGAAGTTGACTAGCAACGGCTTTTTCAAGAACTTTGGAATTAAAGGGCAGATTAGAGATTGGACGAAGATTACTGAAGTTGGTAAAGTCAAGACCTGGTTTCTTGATGATGGGGGTGATGGTCGCAGATTTGAAAGCTGTGGGAACAATGCCAGAGGTTAGGGAGGAGTGGATGATGTTAGTGATGATGGGGAGCAGAGACGGGAGACAGGATTTAACAAGAACTGTGGGAAATGGATCGAGCTGACAGGATGAGGACTTAGACTTGCTGATAATGTCAGCAATGTCATCAGCAGTGGGGAGGGAGAAGACAGAGAAGGGGAGGGAGGGAGGGAGGGAGGGAGGAGTTCAACATAGATGCTGGGGGCGGCATTAGGTCCAAGGTGTTTATGAACTGAAAGAATATTTTCATTGAAATAAGACATCAGAGAGTTGCAAAATTCTGTGGAAACCATGTGAGAGGGTAATGAGTTAATGAGTTAGTTGCAGCGCTCCTACAAGAACCCTGCAGATGTTGGATGCTGTCTATCATGGTGCACTAAGATTCATAACTGGCTGTGATTATCGTATCCACCACTGCACCCTGTATTCACTGGTTAACTGGACATCATTAACTTCACGCAGACTCTCTCACTGGTATATTTTCATCTTTAAATCACTTCTTGGTCTGCTGCCTTCATACATCTCCTCCTACATGTCTCTGCGTGAGCTACGGAGTGCGCTCTCAGGACATTATTACCTGCAGTGTTCCCTCAATGAGGACTGAACTAGGCAAAAGGGCCTTCTCCTACTCCGCTCCTGTTTCCTGGAATATCTTACAAAAAGATTTGAAGCTCTCGACCTTGACCTTTCTAAGTGGCTTTAAGAATTTGTTGGACTCCTGGCAGGGACCAATGCAGACATGTTCCTGTTTTTAGTTTTCTACATTCGCCTTAGAATCTAGCTGTTTTTTTTTTTGTTACCTTTTCCTTTTAGCCATCCTATTTGTAAAAACAAAACAAACAAAAAAAAAACCCTGCAGTATGACTTTTTATAATTGTTTATTGTTGTTGCTGTTGTCATCTTTCTTTGTTGAAATCAGGTCTCTTGTAAATGAGTCCTCGAGGCTCAATGGGATTTACCTGTCTAAATAAAGGTTGATTGATTGAGATGAGACTGAACGGTTAATGAGAGAGAACAAAGTCTTTGAATTGCCAACATTGGAACTGATGTCAGAGAAGTAGCTGGATTTGGCTTGAGAAATACTGTCCTTATACTGGATGACGTGGTTTGCATAGAGACGCATCAACCAGCGTCTTCCGGTAAGATGGCGCCCGTGTGCATGGCCTGCAATCTACCTCTGACGATACTGTTTGGATTATTTCTGCTTTTTTCGTTTTTTGTCTGGGATATCAACTCGCTGCTTGTGTATGACCGACAACAGCTCCTCGATCTTCGATTGTCTGTATCTGCTGTCGCTGATTCGGACCATTTTGATCGTGACTCGGGACCCCCCCCCCCCCCCTCCACCCCTTCTGGCAGACGTGCCTGCTTGTTTACGCTGGGCCCCAAGCCTGCCTTCTCTGAGATATCGATCCAGACGCCGGGGAAAACGTGCCGGCCGGCTGGTAAAACTCAAAGCTCTGCGTGGTCAACGTTTCCACAGCCAGCTTCCTACGTGCCCGGACCAGGGAAAATATGGGTGTTGTCTATCGGCCCAGCGCTTGGACCGTCCTGGAGGCGCTGTTTTAAAAAATCTGCAACCGTTGGCGCGCACCACCCCCACCATGGCTGGTTCTGTGTCGGACCAGATCAGGACGTGCCTCATCAACACAAGGTCTGTTGCCAACAAGACTTTTGTTCTAAATGACTTTTTTAAAGACGAGGGACTTGATTTTCTTTGTCTCACGGAATCCTGGTTGCCTTTGGGTGACTCAAGCGCCTTGGTGGAACTTTTACCTCCTGACTGTCTGTGTTTTAATGCCCCGTGGCCATCAGGTCAGCGGGGTGGTGGAATATTAACTGTATTTAAATCAAACTTTTCCTGTAAACAGTTGTCCACCCTCATGCCCTGCTCCAGTTTTGAGCTGAGTGCTTTTGAACTCGGACATT